CACTGGTAATGGTAAACAGATGGGAGTGAGGGGGGAGACAGGGGAGACACAGAGGGATGAGCTGAGTGTGTGTGTGCTGGCGGGGGGTCAGAGTCTTATTTCACCCCAGTTTCTCTTGGGTAACATGGTGTAGTTATGGATGCTACAAATGCAGTCAAGTGGCCCCTGGTTGGAGCTTAAGCACACATACATCAGTTTGTAAGCTGGAAATCACATGCACAACAAGAGATGTGCACTGGTCATCATCAGTGTGCAGGATGTCTTCTTGTGAAAGCATCTTGTTTCTTAGACATCACAACTTTAACAAGTTCAATGTGGTCTAATTGTGCAAACATTATTTGGTGTTTTATATCCTTCTGAGATGCGACTAAGTGCTGGGAATAAAAGGGAAGAAACTCCCAAGTATTTCACAACTTCTGCACCGCAGTACCGTAATGTCATCCAGATGTGAGCCGCGCACCACAAAGAAAATGCGCACAGAAATCTGTCATGAGTGTAATCTGTATGTTTGGATTTAAAACACACACTTTAAACACACGCTTTATGGAGAAGCAACAAACCTTTCATGGCGTTTTCTAACTCGTTGAGGACTGTAGAAGAGATGAGGACCGCTGTCACTTTCTGCGCATCTCAGCATCCAGTGCGAAAGTGTAAACTTGCTCCACAGAAAACACACACACTTATAAAAGAAATAACACACAGCTATCAGTTTGTCTTCATGTCGAGTCTTGGGTTTAAAATCCCATTGTGCTTCTCGCTTTGCTTCAGAGGAGGTTTTTGCAGCAGTGATGTGATGTTCACGGAGCCTGAAGGAGGAAGAAGTGCTGTGCGTTTACTATCACTGTGAAGTTACACTGAGAGACCAGCTGCACTTCCGGTGACGCTTTCAGAATTAAAGAGTTTTTGTTACGTAACAGCAAAGAGTCCAGACAACTGTAAGGAAAGCACTAACACTGTTGTAAAAAAAAAAAAAAAAAAAGTTACTTTTTATTTTATTTTATTTCATTTGAGTTGAATTGAATTGAATTTGATTTATTATATTTATTTTATTTTATTTTAATTGAATTGAGTTGAAATAGATTTATTATATTTTATTAATTTTATTTTATGTTATTTTATTTTAATTGAATTGAATTGAGTTGAATTTGATTTATTTTATTGTATTTGAATTGAACTGAAATGAATTGTATTATTTTAATTTATTTTATTTCAATTGAATTGAATTGATTTTATTTTAATTTTATTTATACAGATGACGCAATTTAACATAGTTCCAATACAGAGTATGGGACTGATGTGTTGCACAGAATTTATAGCTATTGCTTATTTTCAACTCTCGTCCCTAGTTGGGCTTTTACATGTAGACCTATAATGTTATTAAAAATATGCAGTTTAAAACATCATACAACCACACTATAAACATGGAAGGCACAATAAAATACATAGAGCACAATCCATATACTACAATGCACACACCACAGTACATATACCAGAATACATACATCACATTATATCCCACAGAACATCTACTACAATAGACATATTATTACACACCAGAACACTTACACTAATACCCTTAAAAGTTTGAATGCATAGAGCTAAGAGTGGGTACAGCTCTGGTTTGTATTTAGCGAGCACAGAGTTGACAGCTCTTTATGGAAAAAAACTGATTGTCCAAATTTAGATTTACAACTTAATCTCAATATTTAACACGTTTAGTGTTTGCTAAATTCTTACAGAACCACAAAAAAAAAAAAAAAAACAGTTTTGGGGATATAAAAAAACAAGATATAACATTAATGTGTTGGGTTGGCTTAATCATATCTTGTTTCTAGGATTGGGAAGAAATAGTAATATGTAATTAAATTACAAAAGAAATGTAACTGTATTTATCTGTCATTAAATTACTGATCAAAATGTTGGTGATTAAAAAGAGGTTACATAAAAATATAGAAAAGTTAATATGTAGAATATAACATTCATTCTGTTGCTCTGCATCTTTTTACCATGCAGGAAAACCTTCTTTTGGCATAGTCTATACCTGCACCTTTTTTAGCTTTGTTGCCCAGCTTAAAAAAAATGTTAGAAAAGTAATCAGGCGTAATAAGTTAGGCTATATTACTTTGATGAAGTCATTAAAATAGTTACATTACTAATTACGACTTTAACAAAGTAACAAGTCATCTGTAACCCATTACATGTCAAAAGTAATCTCCGCAACACTTCCTGTTTCATTTCATCATCATTTCTGCCCCCTAAACAAAGACCAATTACAAAACTCTTATTTTGAAGGCTACTGCGCCCAACTTCCGGTTTCCCCTCCTTTTCTCTCTAGCTTTCTCTTTGTAACTTTCCGCCGTTGCCAGCTCCCTGAGGACACAGCCACTGTCCCACTCTGGGTTTTTGAAGTCTTCCCGGTGCCTGTCCTGTCCTCTCCTGTTGTCTGTCCCCCTGCAGGGACAGAGGAAGTGTGGACAGACCCCGGGACGTCGTGCGGCGCTGCAGTAATCCAGCCGGACATGAGATTAAGTTACTGGGGGTTGATGGCAATCGCGTCCCCGGGTGAAAATCTGGTACCCATTAAAGATAATTTCAAAGGTTTTGGGAGGTGGAGCGACACCGAAACGGCGACATTTCACTGCAGTTCCTGTGTTTTTACATATTCACATCTCATTTCCTTTAAGGATGAAAAATCACTCTCATACTCATGTGATATTCCTGCAGGGCCACTTGGCCCCTCTGTGGTACTCAGTAATAGGTTACTCATGTGGTCTGGAGTGTTTTATCAACTGATTTATCACAATATCCCCACATTCCTGTAATACGGCTGTAAACATTTACATATTTTTCTTTTATTCCATGAGTAGATGCACGCTTATGTAACCAGGTCATGATTTCTGGAAAGATACATTGCTATTGAATTTTTAAATCTATTTATCCGGGCACCACAAACCGAGTGCCATTTAGTTCCATTATATTGAAGAGAAGGCAGTATTATCTACAGTCGATATCTCCAGCACACACTTTTAGATTTGGGGTGAACTGTCCCTTTAAGAAGTCATGAAGCAATGCCTTTTTTTCATTTGTTAGAAGAAAATAACATTTTTTGGATTCAATTATAGACAAAATTTTGATTACTCCATTTATTGCTACCTGTGTCCGGCTTAAATGTTTTACCATGTGCTTCATAGCAGTGGTTCCCAACTGGTGGGTTGCAGATCCATTCTGAATAGACCGCAAGTGATTTGCAAATGTGTCAAGTTTGTGAAAAACACACTTTATTTTGAAGTACAGTAAATTTATAGCACAGAGCTTTTATTTTGAAGTGCTGTTGTGACAGACAGCTTCTTGACAGAGACAGCTCAACGACATGACAGCTCAACGACATGGCCAAACACAAGTATGACACTGAATATATAAAACTGTGTGGACCTTGAACTTATGACCGAGGAGAAATCTGGATCCTGTGGCTGGACCAGTTGGGAACCACTGCATTATAGTAGCTACATTTATCTTCCATGGTATGTCTGCTTCATATACTGTATGATGTTTCATATCCTCCCAAACTTTTTCATTAGATGATATAAAATTTTGCGTTCATCATAATGATAATTTCTATCGCACATTGTGGTCCCAATGGCAGCCAAGAGTGACCACAATCTATCAGAATTAGAAAGTAAGGTTCACCAGCGGCCACTTCCTCTTTAACTCCTACAGGTGCAGTGATCATTTCAACACTTCCTGTGTCCATAATCTCTCCAGCCTGCAGATGCAGATCACTGATCAAAGGCAGAAAACAGCTGCATCTCACATCAAAGAAATTAGACACTCATGTCTTCACAGTGCAGGTTAGTGTCACTGCTGTGGCCCTGCCTGATGTTTATCTTTTTATACTGGCTCAGCTCAAACCAGTTGATTTACAGCAAAAAGAAACAGATAACACTGACTGTCCCAGCTCTAACGTCCTCTGAGCTTTAAAAAAAACTTGACACAGACATCAAACTGAGATCTGTTTTTCTTCTTTCTTTGGATAGCAGAGCCTTCAAACCCAGGCTCAGTGCTAATAGCTGGAGTTTGACCCAGTCCGCCACATCTCAGACTCCAGACCAGCCTGAGATGATAAAGCGACTAATTACTTGTTTTCCTAAAGGCTTCAAAACTGTTATTTTACTGTCGGCTATAATTGGAGCAGCAGGCTGGTATTAGGCTCCAGATAGGGATCTCGGGGAGCTGATAAAAAGCAGCTGAGGGTCAGGTATCTTACAGCCTCGCTCCTGCTGGTCCTCATTCAGAGGTTGGGACCTCATTTGCTGGGTCAAGGCGTTTTAGCAGTGGGCTCAGATTAACAGCAAGCTGAGAGAGCATGCAGGAATTCCACATTTATCACGCGGCTGCCAAGTTTGGATCATGATAAGAACAACTCTGATTGTCTTGTATGCAGAAGGAGAGAGTCGCTGGTGGTAGAGAAGCAAAGACAGGAAGCATAATGACTCTCACAGAGCAGATGTTCCAGAATTTAAACACACAGTATACACTACATGATTAAAGTTAAAAGCTACACCAGTTTCCTCTTTAATGTTTTTGTAATAGCATACATATTTGCACATGCTCATGCCGTCCCTCTGCTCCCCTTGTGGCCTACAACACAGAGCTCAGCCAAGACCATGTCGGTGTGTGCCAGCTCCCTGCAGGAGGCCCAGCTGTACTGTCAGCCTGATGGAGATTAGAGCAGAAAGTTTTACCTGCAGTATGTTGGGAGACAATTAAATGAGATAGACCTGCAAACAGTCGAGCATGTAATGTTAACCTCGCATTAAAGCCTGTCTTACACTGATCTGTAGTTATGCTGCGCATGTAGGGCTTAATAATGCAAACACACTAATAGGATCTGTGCTGGTGAGTAGATCCATAAAAATAGAACAATCCTTCGAGGAAGCGGGCAGCGGGCGCCTCACTCTCATCTCTCCAACAGCACGGCCTGCTGCTTCTGTTGTGGAGTCTGATGTTTGCCTAGCTGTCAAGGTAAATACACTATTTTTAAACTACTTTGCAGTTTATTTCGTGTCTGTTTTGCATATAGGAAAACCACATTTCAAGGGGGGGAGAGGATATTTTGAAGAAGCCTGGGGCCCCTTTTTGGCCCTAATAGAGGGAGTGTCTAAGTTTTACTGCCACATGGTGTAATGACTCAGTAGATTCAGATGTAACTGGTATTATTAAGGCCCATTTACTTTTTAAATCATCATTAGTGTTCTTGTGTTGTCCAGGTTGTGTCTCATGTTGAAGTTCTATTGAATGGCTGTGAGCAGCTTTGGGTGAGAGGAGAATTAGGGGAGAATTGACTTAATGTCTTTGTGGACTTAGGTTTGTTATATTCCCAGAGGGGACAGTGAACATGTCTTCTGATTGTTATATGCTATACCTTCTGTTTTGCTCGGATATCCTTGTCAAAAACACCAGTAACAAAAAGAATAACCAAAATATAGCTGTTCAACAGTGCACTTGGAGAAGGCATTTCTTAGGAAGCATCCAATACAGTTATTAAGACTGATTTAGGGTCACATGCATGGACACTGGAATGGACACATTGATAGTCTGTGTTTACAGTGAATATTAATTGATAAAATTGCATTGCATTAATTTTAGTTTTGTTATTTTATTTTAATTTTGTTGATTAATACATGCACACAGAGTTGCCTGTCCACCGTTAAAGGTACAAGAACAAGATTACTCTAAGGAATAATAAAAGTAGTCATTAAAGCTTTTGGAATTGCGCTAACTTATAACAAATAATCAATTTGCAGTGTATTATGGTTATTATCCCTGTTATATAATGTGATTAGATCCATGGGCTACAGAAGCTTAGTTAATGGGGATCACCTCTGGCAATTATGTGTATATGGCTTTACACTGGTGTGATATTTCATGCTTATAAATGAACACTGGGATAATTACTTGCCCTTCGTGTTGCATTATTTTTTAAATGAGTTCTGTATTAAAATGTTTGGGAAATGGCACCATCTTGTGGTAGACACATGACATGATCTGTGCAATGTCAAAGCAGTCATGGTGCTGTGCATGGGCGGATTGTTTAGCCTCTTTTTGTTTTTCGTCTCTTTGTAGTTCCTTTGCAGCTCTTTGTGGTCTTTTTGAGCCTCCTCTTGGTCTTCATGTGTTCATTTGAGTTATACTTTGCAGACGAAGGCCCTTAAAAACTTTGGAGCTCTGGCCCTGTGCCCAGAAGGCTCATTCAGTAATCCATCCACAGTGCTGTGTGGTGCTCCATAGCAGAATAATAAGTAAATTCTGCCCTTTTCACAGAGCTGAACACAGGATGAGGAGGCTGCTTGTTCAAATTCTTTGCATCACTCAGCTCCTGCTCTGTGCAGCTGACTCTCCTCCAGTGGGCGAGGACATGCTGCAAAGTGAGGCCTTCATCCATAGAAAATTATATCTATAGCACTTTTTCTCACTGAATTTGTTTGCATTGCTTAATCACGGTATGTTTCATTGGTGTGTGCAGAGCTGTCTGCAGCAGGAGAGCAGTGTGTCGATGAGGAGATAAAGCGAGCGCTCCTCGGGGTGAAGCAGGTGAAGGAAACGATGGGGAAAAGAGAGGAGAAGCACAGACATCTTATGGACGCCCTGAGGCACAGCAGTGACAAGAAGATGGTATGCTATGTGTTACTGTTATATACATTAAACCCCTGCAGACATATAATAGGTCTGCACAGTCACAGTAATCACTCCTGATGTAAGAAATACCATGCAGTCAGGCTGCGTTTAAATACAATAACTTGTCACAAAATGTGACCAGTTACATACCAGTCTCTGTGCGTTACTCTGAAGCCCATGACATAATCTCTGCCTCATGAAGGCAAAGCCACACAAAGCCTCACAGAGAAACCTCAAAGCAGACAGTGAAGAATGAATGTGGGAGTGGGGCTAGTTTAGGGAGTCTAGTTTTACTGCAGTAAGGATAAATGAACTGTCTGTAGATTAATCTGCTTTTTTAAATATCATTTCAAAATAAAAGGCTTTGTGCCAAGGCCCCAAACCACATCTTATCTTCTCTGGCTTATTAAGAGGTAATGTATCTGTGACATTTTTTGTTCTGGGGTTCCTTCAGGGGGCGATGCTGCTGGTCCGGGAAACAGAGCAGAAACTAGAGGAGGCTGAGAGACAGTGTCAAGATTTAACCAAGTCTTCCTTTGAAGAATGTCGACCCTGTCTTGAAGATACTTGTAAAGCCTTCTATACCTCTACGTGTCGCCGTGGCTTTGCCTCTTTCTCATTCAAGGTTCGACCTCACCACCTATCATCACTGACCTTCAAAATTATAAGAATTAAATATGATTCGTAATACACTTGTAACAAGATAGTTCCAAATGAACCTCTCTCTGCAGGTGGAGGAGTTCTTCAGGAAAATGGCGGCCCAGCTGCAAGCCACAGAGCATGTTTATGAGGAGAATGTGGGTCACGCCACCTCACCCGAGAACCAGGTCACAGACGATGGAGCAGATCTGGAGCTCCTGCAGGCGGATGCATCCTTCAGCCAGCTGCTGTCAAACATCAGCCTCCTGTACAACCAGAGCGTCGTACTGGTGAAAAGGATGCAACAGGTGTTCGGGCATTCCTTCCTGACGGCCTTCACCACAGAGGCCCAACCCAGCCCGCTGTCGGGCATGCAGAGCGACTCCAGTGCTGGCTTCTTCAGGACAGTGGCTCTGGATCACATCCTTGACTCAGTGTCTGACTTTGGGAGGAATGTGCTGAAAGAATTCAGCTCCACAGTGGCTGACGTATTTGAGGAGATACAAGAAGCAGAGGAGTACTTTCAGCAACCGAGCACAGGTATCTGGTGTAACACTTGTAGCTCTACATTTCTAGATATAAAATAATGATATCTACTGTGACATCTATTTTTGTATGTCTATCTACAAAGATACTGGATCCCTTTCTGCTTTGGGATTGTCCCAGAGCAGATATCTGTGCAGACGACTCCGCAGACAAACATCAGAGTGCTGGCAGCTCCAAACCTTGTGCGAGGCGTGTGAAGATTATCTGGTAAAAGGTAAATACCTGCTACAATAACATGTTTTTTAAGTAGGAAGTACTGGTTTCAGATCTGTTTAGCAGCCACATACACCAATCAGACACAACATTAAAACCACTGACAGGTGAAGTGAATCACATCGATCAGTGTTCTGCAGGGAAACCTTTGGTCCTGGCATGGCTGCCACTTGACACACACCACCAACTCAAACACCGTTGCAGATTAAGTACCCCCTCATGGCAACAGCACTCCCCAATGGCAATGCCACCCTGCAAAAACTGCTCAGGAATGACCTATGGAACATGACAAGAGCTCAGTGCGTTGACCTGGCCTCCAAATTCCCCAGATCCCAATCAGGTTGGATGTGCCGGAACTCCACCTTGCAACCCAGAGGCCTCAGAAGATCAGCTACCAATGCCCTGGTGCCAGATACTACGGACACCCCCAGAAGCCCTGTGTCCATGCACTGACAAGTCAGAGGTCCCACTGTGGATCAGACTTGGCTCTTACCTGTCTGTCTGGCCAGCATACCCCATAGATGTTCAATCAGATTGGGATCTGGGTAATTTGGAGGCCATGTTGAAGCCTTGAGGTCTTTGCCATTTTCCTTGGGTCATTCCTGAGCAGGTTTTTCAGCGCAGCATGGTGTATTGTCCTGCTGAGGGGCCACTTCCACTGGGGGGTGCTGTTGCCAGAAAAGGTGTACTTGGTCTGCAACAGTGTTTAAGGATGGGTGTTGCATGTCAAGTGGCATCCATATGAATGCCAGGATCCAAGGTTTCCCAAAAGAACATTAGACTGTAACGAGATGTCGGTGTGATTAACTTCACCTGTCAATGGTTTCAATGTTGTGGCTGAGTGGTGTATGTAGATATGATCTATATGCATATAGAGATATGCCAAAGTTGTTCCTGTCTGGATTTTATATGGTAATTCTGGCCCAAATACTAATGAAGAAATTCACCTAAAGGGGCAATTAAAAAGCTGTATTTCACAAGTTGCAGCACAGCCATTGCCATAGCCAGAGTGAAACATCCATCCATTGTTACTTAGACAGTTTGTTTAATCATTTAGGGGGCAAAAAATGCTCATCACACTTTCCCAAAATCCACGCTGTCTTTAGTTTTCTTCATTTATGTTTGCTATGTTAAATATATGTTTATTTTACTCTGACATAAAACACACACAAATTCTCACATTTAAGAAGCTGGAAACTGTATATGACTTACTTAAATAGATAATCGATTGTTAAAATTGTTGATTAATTTTCTGATTAATAAGACTTGTTGGAAATTCCTGAATTTTGTGTATAACTAATAGCGTTTTAGCTTTAGAATGTCTGCATTCACACTGATAAAGTAATATGTGAATGCTTTTGTCAAATATCTTAAATACTTGGCTTTCAGAGAATAAAATAAAGATAAAGTTGGACTGTTTTCCTGTTCTTGACGTCACCACACACACCTGGATTAATGCGCATTTCTCTGTGTGTGCTTATTTAGAGTGTCCCAATGTTCAGCAGTTACACTCTGAGGTGGAGGAGATGTACATGCTGCTCAACGCCTCCCAACAGCAATACAACGACAGGCTGCAGCTGGTCCAGAGACACACAGCCGACACACAGAGATGGCTCAGAAACATGGATGACAAGTACGGCTGGGTCAGCCAGCTGTCCAGCAGCACAGCAGGGTCACACAGTATCTTCAGCGTGATCACAGTACGTTTGTAGTAACGTTAGATTTGTCAGACTTTTTCTTACAGTAGTTAATTTGAGATGTTAATGTTATTTTCTTTACAGTTATTCCTACCTACAACATGTGAATCTCTTTACCACAGAGCATTAAAATAATCCTGTTATTTTAATTCTCTTGTAGATAATAGACTTGATCCTTAAAATGAATTAACACGGTTTAAATAAAGACTCCAAAGCCAAACCAAAACAAGATTACCTGACAATATAGCCTAAAGAAGTGCATTATCATTTTGGCTGTCAGTAATCTTGTTAATTATTTTAGTTTCTATGGCAGGTAAGGCAGACAATTATTTATTGTTTTCCCATCACTGATGCAGTTTTACTCGTTTTCCAGGTGAATCCGCAGCAGCAGATGAAGAATATCAGACCCAAAGCTGACAGCAGTGTGGTTGTAACCATACTGGACTCTGCTCCAATCAGTGTCTCAGTCCCAGCAGAGTTGGAGGTGGACGACCCTGCTTTTATCCAGTTCGTAGCTCAGGAGGCTCTGACACTCCATAAACGGCAGATAAGAGGTATTGATTCAGGCAGCGATGTGGCTTAATGTGTTAATTATTTGGCTCCCAGCTTCACCTGGCAGAGCTCCAAACTGCAACTGAGTAAAATGAATTGTGGTAATTTGAAACAACCAGCTTCACACAATAACAACTCCCTGTGCATTTCTTCAAATGCAGTATTATTCTGAGAGACTATGCAAATGTTGTTATCCAAAATGATGAGTTAATTAAGAAACATTAACAAATGTAATCATTCATTGACTTTGTATTAACAAATCAAATGCACCCATGTGCACTGAAGCATTGGTATTTGTAGACATGGGAATATTTAAATTTACAGACTTGCTTGTCTTTACAAACAGTTTTATGTTTTGTTTTCTGCACTTAAACTAAGTAATGCGACTATTTCCAGCACTCACACACCATCATCAGATGCTGAATTAAGTGTCCAGTTCTTGCACAATTAAGCATATTTTTGTAAAACTTGAAAATGTACCTTTACATGTACAGCTTGTGTTGTTTTTATTCATGTATGTTCATTCTAATGATTTTAAATGTTTCGGCAATAAAACTTTGAACATTATGCTTGAGCCATTCTTTTGTTTTTTGTCATGTTTGTCACAAGTAATCCAAAGAAAGTAGGGCAAGCTCATGTAATGACTTCTTAAACCATAACTTTGAATGTAATATTTGCAATTTGTTGTAAGCTTGATACTTGAATAATTATAATACAACATCTTCTGTGCAGTTTTTTAAACAATCTGTATTTATGTGCATGCAAAGACAAAACCTCTACTTTAAAGTCTATACATAAAATTGTTTTTTGAAGCTTTGTGCAGTAGGAAAAGGGTGAAAATCTGGTATACAAAATGATTCTGCTTGCAAAATGTAATGTGATTTAATTTAATTTGATTTAATTTTATTTATACAAACTAATTTGTAATTTAAAATGAATTTAATTTATAAATTTATAATTTATTCTGGCCTATATTACTACTTTTCCATAAATAATAATAATAATTCAATTTTACTGTACTGCAGTAATTTATTGTCATATAATGTAAAGCTTGAACCACAGGACAATTAGTTGACATTTATTTTGTTAGATAAATATATTAAAAATAATGGGATTCCTTTGACATATATTTAAAAGTAGCCTCTTCTCCCGAATTTATTTGTTGTACATGATACATTCTCTCCATTTTTATAATTGTATGTCTATATTTTGTCTTTAATTATTACTAAAATTTAAGAAAGTAATGTAAAAAATGTTTTGTGGTTCCTTTTTTAGTTTCTGTTGTAGAAGACAAAGCAGGAAGCGCTTTTTTCGCTACTCTCGCGAAGGACGGGTCACGTTGATAAATGGGACAGTCTAGCCTACGGAGCATTTCGGGGTTGCGTCACGACGTCATGACTCCTGCCGCCCAAGCCCGGGAAAGACGAAAAACATAACAGACAACTTAAGAGACGACACAGAATCATAACTGACAGATAACTTAATAAACGACACGGAAACATAACGGACAGACGACACAAAAACATAACAGACGATGGAGCCAGAGGTTTTGATTTTGTTTTTTTTAATATATTTTTTGTTGGAGGAAGAGGAGAGGCGGCTCCGGCGACAGCGACACCGGCGGCTCGTTTATCTCCGGCTGGGAGAGAGCTGTGGGGAGGTAACGTTAAACCTGTTATTTTAACCCACATTAATGTTCATACATAGCTAGCGTAGTTCGAGGTAATTAATATACCCGTTAATAAACGATACCGTTAAGTGACAAACGCTACATAACATTATATATATATGTGGTTCATGTCATTTAACCATTACACTTGATACAGATTTCGTACAGGTGCTTAAAATCTTTGAAAATGTTGAAATTTTAATGCTGTGTTTTCAAGGTCTGAAAAGTGCTTGAATTTTAGTTTAAATGCTTAAAAGGGCTTATAAAGTGCTTGAATTGAATAGTAAAATGTGTACGAACCCTGTAAATAACCCTGACTTAATTCAGTATTAAAATGTGTCATTAAACATCAAAACCATATTGAGAAGCCAAAGTGGATAGATGGACAAATAAAGCATTATTGATCTAAGGTATAACATTAACTAGCATTGTCTTATTAACTAAAATTAAATAGCTATTTTTGCTTTAATCATTTATGTTCTCCTGTTCTTACCCTCCTTTCCCCATCCAGACGAGACCGATGTACTGCCGCATCAATATGAATGTTCCAGTTCTCCAAATATTTTTTGATGATCATGACACCAGGCGAGATTTCAGGCTGAGCAGAGAGTCCCTGGCGGTGCTGCTGGACCTTCTCCAAGAGGAAAGACGACACGGATGGGGTGCCACAATAGAGACCTTGGTCTTTCTCTTCTGGCTGGCGAGTGGGACATCATACAGGGTGGTCTCAAGGGCGTTTGGGATGCCTCGCTCCACTGTTCACCGCATCGTTCATCGAGTTACTGAGGAGGTGGTGGCCATTCGCCACAGGGTTATCTACCTCCCCAAGACCGCTGACGACCTGGCGGCAGTAACTCGGGTTTGCAGGGCTGGCAAGACACAGAGCTTTTCTAAAAGCTGCTGGAGCAATCGATGGCTGCCATGTCAGGATCAAGCCACCAAGCGGCCCTGATGGTCAATGCTATAGGAATCGCAAACTATTTGCATCTATAATTCTGCAAGCACTTTGTGACCATCAGGGCCGCTTCATCGACACGTACGTGGGCTGGCTGGGGTCGGTGCATGACTCCAGGGTACTCCGGCACAGCCCACTGTACAGGCGTGCCATCTACCCTCCTCCAGGGTACTTCATCTTGGCAGACGGTGGGTACCCGTGCCTCCAACATCCACTCCCCCTCATCACTCCCTACAAGCAGCCGGTACAAGGTGTGGGAGCCCAGCGCTTCAACAGCCATCATTCCAGGGCACGCTCCATCATAGAGCGTGCCTTTGGGATGATGAAGACTAGGTTTAGGTCCATCTTCCTCCAAGTGCTGGAGGTGCACCACACCTTTGTGCCTCAGGTATGTCATGACACAACAGAATTATTGTTAAATGGTGAATACCAGTACATTAATTAAAATTAAATTACATTTACATTAATCTTTTTTTTTTCTTCTTTTCTCCAGGTCATAACAGCATGTGCCGTCCTGCACAACATCTGCCTGGGTGCTGGTGACATCATGGCCCCAGAGGATGAAGTGCAGGACGACATGCCGGAGGATGAGGGGGAGAACTGGTTGGAGGCAGTCAGTGGTGCTCCATGGCGGAACCAGCTTTCTGCAGATGTGTCTGCCCTGGAGGAGGGTGTCCTTGACCATGATTACCTTTAGAGGGCAAGTAAAATAATTTTAAAGCTATTCCTGTTTAAAGTGTTTTGTAAAGTTTTGTTTGTTGAGGTAGTTTGTGGTGGGTTTAAAAAGTTGTGCAGTAGTATTTTGTGTGTTTTATTCTTGCCTCTCTTTTAAACATTTTTAGTGACGTGGCAGCCATCGATTGCGTCAGCCCTGCAAACCCCGTTGATGGACGATGTGGTGGACAGTGGAGACATGCATCCCCCACCCCTGACATGATGTCCCACTCACAGCCAGAAGACTCCAGGGTCTTTATTGTGGCATCCCATCCAGTCCAGCAGCACCACCAGGGACTCCTGCTCAGCCAATAATTAAACTGTATATATGTTCTCTATAAATAGTAATTTCTGATCTTTTGTAAATAGTTGTACATGTTAAGAATACCCAATAGTTATAGTTATAAATGTTCATATTGTATCTTTGTAAATATTTGTTAATCACAGAAAAAATAAATTACTTGTGTTGTCACTGAAAAGGAGTTCAAAAGTTTACTTTAGTTGTAAATAAGAAATGGAACAGATAATGTAACAAGGTTATAAGATTTTAATTTAACTATATACAATATTTAGAACAGAAAATGGAACAAGGTTACAAGATTTTAATTTAGAACTATATACAATATTTTTAATTAACACTTTAAATAAGAAACACAGAACTTAATCGAACAGAGAAAAAAAACATCCAAAAAAAAAAAAATCACTGTCTGTCAACCATCCTCTCCAATAAGCTGAAAAGTCTCTCCATCCTCTCTCTGCTCTCTCTTTCTCTCCTCTGCCTCCCTCTGCAACCTCATGTCTTCCCTGATCAGGTCTATAATTTCATTATCTCTTCCCCTTCTTCTCTTTCTTTTGCCTGTTGTTGCTGGCCCTGGCTGCCTTTCCTCATCCTCCTCCTCCTCCTCCTCCTCCTCCTCCCCCTGCTGCTGCTGCTCACCCACTGCAGCACTTGGCCCTGGTGTGTCCTCAGGGATGGAGGCAATTAGGACAGGAGGTGCCATCGAAGGCCTCTGTCCTATAACCTCATCCATGAGGACAAACCAGGGCCAGGTGGCAGCAGTGGGCTTCCCGCTGACCCCCTGTCCTGTCCCTGGATCTTTGCATTCCTAAGGGAGAGGAAATGAATCACAACAGCAGCAGTTTTCTTTAAAGTATTTATTTAAAAAGTCTTGAAAAAGGAGTGTTTCATGGACTCAAAAAGAAATATGTTTGAGGTGCTCTTTGCAATGCAATTCATGTAGTGATAAAGAAACGAAGAAAAGAGAACGAAGAAAATTAATTTGTTTGACTTCCTGATGAAGGCTTGATGCTGAAACGCGTCGAAGGACTGTGGTTTTAAGGTTTATATGACCATGCCACGAGAATAAAGGCATTTTAACAACTTTGGGAGGGTGCCTTGGAGGTTTTTTCTACGTTTCTTTATCAAAGTATTTATTAACTTAGGTAAAACAAATGTAGTTTCCATATCATTATCCAAACCTGCACATACTTTGTATTTTTTTTTTAAGTTGTCCCACTTTTTTTTGGCCTGCTGGGGCTCCACCTTTCCCTCCAGGCCCATTTTTTGCAGGATTGTTCTAAACAAGAGAGAAGCATGACAAAAGGCAAACACAAAAAAAATCACATTATCACAGATATGTAAAGATTCACAAAAGGTGACATCAGGACAGACATAAAATTCCCACCCCGACCC